TGCAAGGCTTGAAGTCTTAATCCTGAGATCAAGACCTGAGTTGAGATCAGGAGTCAGATGCCTAACTGACTGAACCACCCAGGCACTACCCTCCGTCCCCCGCCCAGGAAGATTCATCATAAAAGAAATAAACTGCTATCTGGTATTATAATGTGTATAGTTTATAGGTCTTCAAATTCATTGTCTCTTCTGTTGAATGTTTGGTTTTTCTAGAGGGCAATAAGGACTTTGTAATATAGGCTGCCCTGTTTATTCTTCTTTTCTAGTACATTAGGGAGCAGCCATGACCTGAATAAATCCTTGGAGAGTTTTCGGGACATCATCTTATTCTGTAGAGACCATGACACTATACTTCTGAACATATCCTTCTGCATCCTGTTTTAAATTTTAGAAAATAGACTTAAAATAGGACAGAATTTTGCTGTTATGTATGTATTTCCCCCCTTTGGGCCAATAATACATATGGACTTCCCATTTGTTTACATTTGCTTATTTTCGTTTATTTTTACCCACTTTTTTTAGAGGATGAAGTTAGCGACTTTGGCCACTGGGTGGCGCAAATTCACAAGCATCTGGTAAAAGTTTGTATATTCCAGCCCAAGGTGCGCCCATTGCTACACTCTACCACATGAAAGAAAATTAGTTAGAAAAAAGGCTTTGGAGACCTGAAATCTAACTATAGACACAGATCCAAGTTCTCTAGGAATTCAGATTAAAGGAAATTTCCGGTATTGATGACTGGTACACCAGGTCACTGAATAAGGAAAAGGAAAAAGGAAAGTGTTAGAATAACAGGAAGAGAAAGATGAAGGGATAAAGAAATATGAGAAAGAGAAAAAAATAAGTCCAGAGAGATAAATTCAAGTGTTACCAACAGTTCCAGGAAGGCCTCTCATTGGTTTGCATTTACCTGGTGACCAATAGCAGCTTTGATTTAAAGTAAAGCTTACCTCATTTTCTTCTAGGAAGTCAGTTATGCTCCCCTCAGCTATCCATTTAGTGGAGTGACATTATCAGCATATGTTCTGAGTGTCTGCTGTGCACATGGTGCTTTGTCAGGTTCAAAGTAGTATAGACATATACAATTTAACACAGCAACTACAGGCTTCAGGACTAAGGCAGCGTACAGGAAAAGGTAAATGCCAAATCGGGGCAGGTTGTGTGAACTCCAGAAATAAAATCCCTTCTGAGAGTGGAGGATCTGAGTGTGAGGCAAGGAGGAGCCATAAGACTGTCAGCCTGTCCAAAGCAAAGAAAAAAGAAGGGTTCCTGGCTCCTAGTCATAAGTACACATAGCAACTCTTCCTTGGAAAATGTCTATTTCTGGGCATAAACATAGGGAAAGTGCTTTGGGTCAGAATCCGCTGAACACTGCTCAAAGAGGCTCTAAAATAAGAAGGATAGGGGTAGATGATGATTAGGAGAGAACCATCCTTAAGTCCTCTCTCTGATTAGTAACCCAGAAAAGGAGGGATGCTAATGTCCTCCTCAGGCCTTCAGAGGTCCAGACTGTCCTTGTTTGCTTTGATTTTTGAGATCACAGGTATATAAATGAATCACAGGTTAAAAATAAAGAAATGGCGGGGTGCCTGGGTGGCTCAGTGGGTTAAACCTCTGCCTTGCGCTGAGGTCATGATCTCAGGGTCCTGGGATCGAGCCCCACATCTCTGCTCAGTAGGGAGCCTGCTTCCCCACCCCCCCACCTGCCTCTCTGCCTACTTGTGATCTCTCTCTCTGTGTCAGATAAATGAATAACATCTTAAAAAAAAAAAAAAAAGCAATGCTCTTAAAAAAATAAAGTAATGGCAAAACAGGATATAAAACTTTTGTATTTTAAGTCTTTATATTGAAGAAAGTTATGCTTTTAACACACAATCGCAATAATTAAAGTGATTCAGCAATACCTTTAAGAGTTTAAATTAGAGGGTTCCTGTGAATGTGCCTTTTCTGTCCTAAGCAATTACCCACCTTAATCTTTGGGCCTATCAGAAAGTTTTAGGGTGACTTAAGCCTTTCAAAAAGATAGAATGACTTCCAAGTTTCTCAACGCTAAGACTTGAAAAAAAGCACAACTTGATATTTGTGCCAACTGGGGGCACTTGGCTGGCTCAGTGAGTAGAGCATGTGACTCTTAATCTCAGGGTCATGAGTTCAAGCCCCATGTTGGGTATAGAGATTTCTTAAAAAATAAAGAAAAATTTAAGGGTGCCTGGCTGGCTTAGTCAGTAGAACATCGACTCTTGATCTTGGGGTTGTGAGTTTCAACTCCACACTGGGCATAGAGATTACTTAAAGTTTTTTTTAAAATCTTAAAAAGAATAACTTACTTATGCCAACTGCTGGAAACACAGCAGTAATGTATTAAACAAAAAAGGACAGGTTTAAAATGGTATGGAGAATATGATGTGATTTGTGAAACGTGTCTTTACAATGTCTATAAAGAGATACATCGAAGAATTAACAGTGGTTATCTTTGGAAGGTGGGATTAGGTATCCCTTCTTTCTTGTTTTTTCGTTTATTCTTTACACCTTCCAGCATTTCCTAAAACTTGTTGTAATGAGAATGTCCTTTAATGATCAAAAAACAAAGTGTGGTAACTTAATGAGAATAAATTTGCAATAAAAATCTTGCTGGCTTGTCACTTCCCAGAGGAATAATTGGCACTCCTTAGAAATTGTTTTATGAAGTTGAATCTGTAGCTGAGTCTATGGTGGTGACAGGGAGAACTGTGTCTTACTGGAAAGGGATCTGCAGGCTAAAAGTTCACATCCCAAACTCCATGTAAGAGTTCTCCCTTTCCTTCTGCTGTCTCTCCAGTCTCTCAGTTTTCGAAGATCCCCTACCAGTAAGAGAATGTGGGATTCAAAACTGTTAACTAATTAAGGAGTCAGAAAATCCTCAGAAAATGCTCCATCAGAGGAAACAAGTTGTCCACAAAGCAAAATACTCACTTTTTAAAAAATTTTTAAAAAATATTTTATTTATTTATTTGACACAGAGAGAGAGAGATCACAAGTAGGCAGAGAGGCAGGCAGAGAGAGAGGGGGAAGCCGGCTCCCTGCTAAGCAGAGAGCCCAATGGAGGGCTCGATCCCAGGACCTTGGGATCATGACCCAGAGGCTTTAACCCACTGAGCCACCCAGGTGCCCCTAAAATACACACTTTTCTTTTTATTAATCATTTTTTAAATTTATTTTCAGCATAACAGTATTCATTGTTTTTGTACCACACCCAGTGCTCCATGCAATCCGTTCCCTCTCTAATACCCACCACCTGGTTCCCCCAACCTCCCACCCCCCCACCTCTTCAAACCCTTCAGATTGTTTTTCAGAGTCCATAGTCTCTCATTGTTCACCTCCCCTTCCAATTTCCCCCAACTCCCTTCTCCTAACTCCCCATGTCCTCCATGCTATTTGTTATGCTCCACAAATAAGTGAAACCATATGATAATTGACTCTCTCTGCTTGACTTATTTCACTCAGCATAATCTCTTCCAGTCCTGTCCATGTTGCTACAAAAGTTGGGTATTCATCCTTTCTGATGGAGGCATAATACTCCATAGTTAAAATACACACTTTTGATTCCATCAGTGACTTTCTGTAAAGTCAGTACAAATATTACCTAAATCACAGTCTTGCAGAAGATTTAAGAAATGTAAACTTTGCCACAGTTTTCATCTCCTGGGGAAACTCATGTTTCTGGATTAAAGGACATTCTGTTGTGGTCGAAGCTGGGAAGGGTGGAGATGAATGTAGGCATCAGTCCTAGACCAAGAGCTTCTGAGTATAGAATGTTTGTGATCATCCTCCCAAGTGGTCTTGGGAAGGAGCAAGCTTTTTTCCCTCTCATATCATGGTTAGACCCAACCACAGATGGCAGGATAAACTGGAGGCAATGTTGTGAATCCGTGTGAGGTGAAATAATAAACTCATTTATCCAAATGACACCCCCAGTCCTCTGTCCTCTCCTCCACCTCCTTTGTTTCAAAACTATCATCTTCCATGCTTTGTATCTGTTCCATCTCTTCCAGGCTTAGCTTGAATAATAAATTGGGGTTTGGAGCAAGATATTTTCCCCTGTTGGTATAGTTTTTAAAACCACTTTTTGGGGGCAGTACCTGATGGGAAAGGGAGAAGGATACAACCCATATGTGGTTTTTACAGAGAACTAAGAAAACAGGATTAGTGACAGTTACATCTTGCCAAAATGAAATGGAATGGTTTCAAGACTCTGATACTATGAGCAGGACGACAGTCTTATCCCACCTGCCAATCCCTTTTCCTAACCTGTTCCCTTCAACAACTGCTGTTTCTGCTTCCTCGCCAAACTCTCACCTGAGCAGGTCAAATTTGACTCAGAGTGTGCCTTTGTAAGAAAAATCATCCATCATCATTTTGTGTGGAATCCTTGTTCAAAATGTATGCAACTCCACATTGTGGTTTAGTGTGTAATGTCAGGCCCACTTGAAGAGTTGTGAATTATGGGAAACCTCTTATTTTATGCAGTCCCTAAGCCGCTTGGGGATGACATAGAAGGAGGACTTCTGGAATGCTTAGCGTCGTGTTCCCCTCACCAGTGTGTGGATAGCCCCATGTAGGGCAGAGGCTAAATCATAAAGTGCTATGAACATCAGCCTGGGAAAACAGGAACCCCCACCCTCAGCAAGCCGAGAGCCAGTGGGAGTGAACTCAGCTGTGAGGAAACAGAGGTGCTCGTAAACAGTGCCACACCAGTGGCTGCTTTGCCACTTGGAGGCTGTGTGTGAACCGTTTGTCAAAGAGAGCAATAGGTCCATTCATAGTGCTCAGAGGGAAGACTTTTTGTTCCCATTAGATGGGATGTAAAGATACCCGCTTTCCGTGATGGGTGACGTGAATCTCAGAGGCATGTGGCTAAGACAGTAGCAGTGGCATGAAGGTAAGCCTGACTGCTAAGCCCAGGCTCTTCCTAAATTGGCCTGGCATAGTGTTTGATTATAATATCCCTGCTGGACATAATGAGTGAATTCACAAGAACCTGCCAATATTGGTTAATGACAGGGAAAAGACAGTGCAGTATCCTTCATTCAACGTGTGAAGCAGAGAAGAGCTTTTCAGAAGTATGTCTCGTGGATGATAGTGATCCTTGCAGCTTTCCTTGGACTTGATGAGTTGGGAGCATCTTGTCCAACCTAGAGATTGAAAGGAAATGAGCGATAAAGAGGATGCAAATGGGTATTCCTTCATGTACCAACCCCATTTAATGCCAAGTACATATCATTTTGCCTCTTTGTTATCCAGAAATTCTAGGAAAAGTTACTGTATTTACACAGTATCAGCAAGGTACATTTATTTATGCATGAGAACCTACAATTGGTTGGACCCTATAACCCAGTAGCAAAGAGCCCATTCACCCCTTGCTTAACCCGTTTGCTTTGAATGGAAAAGGCTCTGGGTATGCAGGTACTGTGGATCGCCTTGGTACAGGGATTCTGTTTCATTTCTTCAGTCAGACCCACACAGTCTCACTATGTTTGAAAAGAGATGGAGATCTGAGTCTCTGTGGACCAAATGTTTTTTTACTAATCCCGTTCCACTCTTGGTATATCTAATTCCATGTCCCATCTGATTTTCTGTGTTCTTTCTAAAGGCTTAAATTATGAACATAGAGGGGCACCTGAGTGGCTCCGTGGGTTAAAGCCTCTGCCATCAGCTCAGGTCATGATCCCAGGGTCCTGGGATTGAGTCCCGAATCGGGCTCTCTGCTCAGCAGGGAGCCTACTTCCCTCTCTCCTCTCTCTCTCTCTCTGCCTGCCTCTCTGCCTACTTGTGATCTCTGTCAAATAAATGAATAAAATCTTTTTTAAAAAAATTATGAACATAGAGTGTGACCCTCTTAAAGGTAAGGAACTTGGTGTATAAAGGCTTTCAGTAAAATTTTAGTATAGGAATGAAAGACCTGGGTTTCCTTTCTGTTTCTACCAGCTGTTTGTTACACAACCTCTCTGAGCCTCAGTTTAAGTATCAATAAAATGTGGATACCTGCTGTAGCTACCTCCCACAGTTTTTGTGGGCTCAAATGAGGTAATGTCTATAAAGTTGCTCATTATTCTTTTTATCAATTCTTTTATGATTTGGTAGCTTCTTTTGTTGGTAGGAGGAATTCAGTGTAGCTACTACGTAGTTACCTCTAATTCTGGACTAGGTTTTTTATTCCCCTTCAGGCCTATTTCTTCCAGTGTTCAGTAGAAATGATAAGGCAGAGTGGAGTAAAGTACTAAACATATTTCCTGTGATTAAATCATACTAATTTACATGAGCTCATTATCTAATATTAGCAGAAACCAGATTATAGAAAATAGTAACCTAGACCAGAGATGACAAATAAGTTGGCATTGGGTACCTGAAACAGTGTGATAAGAAATATTCTGATGCCATGGCTGGATAGAAAGAGTGTTGTGCTTCGGTTTCAAAAACTGAGATATAATTCACATATAACATTGTGTAAGTTTGTGTATAGCATGTTGACTGCATACATTTAAGAAAAAAAGATTTTATTTATTTGAGAGAGAGAGAGTGAGCAAGCATGAATAAGGATGGGGGGAGGCAGAGGGAAAAACAGACTCCCCGCTGAGCAGGGAGACCGACGTGGGACTGGATCCCCGAGATCAGGACCTGAGCCAAAGGCAGACACTTAACCAACTGAGCCACCCAGGTGCCCAACTGCATTCATTTATATATTGCAATATGGTTATTACCCTAACACCTGTATCATGTCATAATAATTACCAGTTCTTTTGGTGGCAAGGACATTTAAGATTTAGTCTCTTAGCAGTTTTGAGGTCTGTAATACAGTCTTGTTGACCATAATCACTATTCTGTGTGTTGGATCTCCAGAACTCACTCAGCTTCTCATGTACTGTGCATTGATATGTGCAGTCAACACAGAATTAAAGAGTAGGTGCATGTACCATCCTGGACTAGATCATCTTTGAGACCCATTCTCAGTGCTCTAATTCTGCAAAAGTGGATTCCTTCTTTAATTTTATTTTTTCTAAGATTTTATTTATTTATTTGACAGAGAGAGAAAGAGAGATCACAAGTAGGCAGAGAGGCAGGCAGAGAGAGGGGGAAGCAGGCTCCCCGCTGAGCAGAGAGCCCGATGCGGGGCTCGATCCTAGGACCCTGAGATCATTACCTAAGCCAAAGGCAGAGGCTTAACCCACTGAGCCACCCAGGCACCCCTAATTTTATTTTTTTTTATATTTTATTTATTCATCCATTTATTTTAGAGAAAGAGTGCAGCTGGGAGGAGGAGGAGCAGAGATGGAGGGAGAGGGAGAAAGGGAAAGAATCTCAGGCTGACTCGGCTGAGTGAGGAGCCCACCGTGGGCTCGATCTCACAACCATGAGATCATGACCTGAGTCAAAACCAGGAGTTGGTCACTTAACCAGTAGTGCCACTGAGGTGCCCCCCCACCTTTAATTTTGAAAGTATTGGAGGCCTCATCTTAGTGAGTGTTGTGGATGTTGTAGAGAAGGCACACTTCTGACAGTGAGACTGGATTTAAGGCAGCTGCACTGTAACAGTGGTGTTGTGTCTATTTTAAACACCAAAAGGCAACATGAGCTTAGGACGCTTGGGGAAACCAAGGGCCAGAAGGAAAGAAGCTACTTTGCCAACTATTCAAACTTTGCAGGGCGTTGTAAGAGTTACCTAGGGGCAGGGATGGGTACATATTCTGTGGGTTCTGAACTCTGACAATTTGACAATTTTAAGAAAAAGAATATGAATTTGAAGAATACAAAATTTGATACAAGCTTCATACAAGTCCCGTGGGTCCTGAAGTTTAAACGTCATTAATTTCACAGTAAATCCACCTCTACTTAGGGTTATTTAAAAAATCTTAAAAAATAAGTTTCCTGGCCCCACTCTAGACATTTTGACTGATTATAGCTGGGTCTCTGAAATAATATATTTTAAATAAATACTCTATTATGTTAAGGCTGGGCTGATGTGAGGAAAATAAAACAATAATACAAATACCTCCCTATTTCCTGACACATAAAAGAAACACCGATATTTGCTTCATAAGTGAAACAGCTCCCTGTCTCCCAGCACTTATATATGAACCTCATTTTCCCCAAGCAAATGACATAAACCATACAGAGACCACTTTCCTTCTTGGGCTGAGACTCAAGCTGGGATTCAGCTGCCTCAGGTTGCTGGCCTGCCTTCCTTTGCCTTCTCCATAACCGCTGGCTTTGGCATAGTTCTCTGGTTCCCCGGCATTGACTCTGAAGGAAAAAAGTGACTGGTGTTAATTTTAGATAGCTGGTATACATTTGGTTACCTTCCAAACCTCCTGTGAGACCATTTAAAGAAAAGTGTCATTTCTAAAGAAAACACTCTATCTCATTGGATCCATCCTCTGTAGAGAATGTCCAAGTACAGCAGGGGTCAGGAACTCACATTCAGCAAGCAACGCCAATGTGCCAGGTGCCTTTCACACAGGATCTTAATTAACCTTCAAAAGCACCATAAGAGGAAAATATCATTAGTCCCATTTAACAGATGAGCCAAATCTTGTTGGAAAAGTCAAGCAACTTTCTCAAAGCCACTCAGCTAGTGAATGTGAGTGGCAGTTCTATCCAAACCCCAAAGTCTGTGCTTTTTTCATTATGTGAACCTGCCTCTGGAACAGAAGAAGAAAGCTTTATAAACTTTTTTTTTTTTTTTTTTAAAGTAAGCTCCATGCCCAGCATGGAGCCCAATGCAGGACATGAACTCTCGACCCTGAGATCAAGACCCGAGCTAGGATCAAGAGTTAGGTGCTTGGGGCGCCTGGGTGGCTCAGTGGGATAAGGCCTCTGCCTTCAGCTCAGGTCGTGATCCCAGGGTCCTGGGATCCAGCCCCGCATCGGGCTCTCTGCTCACAGCAGGGAGCCCGCTTCCCCCTCTCTCTCTGCCTGCCTCTCTGCCTACTTGTGATCTCTGTCTGTCAAATAAATAAAATCTTTATAAAAAAAAAAAAAAAGAGTTAGGTGCTTAACCACCTGAGCCACCCAGGCAGCCCCAGAAGAAAGTCTTTATAGATCAAGTCCAGGGACCCAATACATCCACAAACTTACAGGGCATGGGACTTCAAAAATGACAAACACTATAATGGCAACTCCACTCAACAACAGGGTGATAGCAATCAGAAATTTGACCACAATGCTCCATTTCTGCCGCTTCTTTAGATTCTCATCTGTGTCTAAAAGGAGAGAGAGGAGGAGAAGGAGAAGAGAGAACCTGAGAGAGGGAAGAGATTGATACTCTGACTTGAAGTTCTTCTAGGTCCCCAGACTAACAGGGGTCCAGCCTGATGCAGAGACAACAGGCTGAACTTCCAATTCAGACTCAGAGTCAGGAGTGGGGTGGGCCTCATGGGCTCTGCTCTAACCTCCTTTGCAGCCTCTTCCCAATGAGTCACCCTCCCTGGGATTTGGGATTGGCCATGATCAAGTAGGAGTGATTCTTGCATTGCTTTCAGGGGAGGTGGGGGGGTGAGTGCGAAAGGAGTTCTGAACTTGTCTTTCACCAGCAGCACCCTCTCGGTCTCTCCCCTTGTTACTCAGACAGACATACTCTGTGGGATCAGAAAACCACCTTTCCTGTGCTTCGCTTGACTGTGGTGTGGAGTTGGAGGAACAAAGGTGATTTGGCATTTCTTTGGGTCAAAAGGCAAACTTAGGGATAAATGCCTTACATGCATCTTGTTATTACTAATCTTATATTTACATCTCTCCCATGAGAACTGGGATGTAAGCTAAACAGAATTCGAGTCCTGACCAATTTAGGGAGAGCCATTTCCTAAAAACAGTGCAGATGAAAGCACGCACTTGGTTATTGTCCTCATTGTGATGATGCTTAGTGTTTAAATGTTGTCCATCTATACACACAATGGTTGGAATCCCCGCCACACGAATACGATTCATTCTGTCCCCAAAAGTGGCCACAAGCTCATTTATGTGGAGGTAAAAGATTATTAATAGTGCCAAACTACATACACTTCTGGGACCTTGTTTAGAGAAGAAATGGAGTGATTTTCTGATGTAAAATCCATGTAATTTCTCAGCCTCCCAGAAAATCCTAGAAAACCCAAACTCATGTTGTGGCTAAAAGAGTTTCTTTTCCTTTCTATTCTTGTCTCACCCCTATTTATTCTGTACCTTCTTTCAAAGGGCTAGAAAAATCATCAGTACTTGTAGTTTTCTCTCCTTCTTTATTCCCAGGAGATATGGAGGTGATCGTGGTAGAAAAAGTCTCCAATGCAGCCCTCATCACCACATAGACCTTACATCGAGAGATCCCTGGTAAAAAAGCTATAAAACAAGAAAGAAACAATGAAAAAACAACTGAGAAAACGTCATCCTGCCTTTGTTTTACCTGAAGAAACCCTATTTCTACCGAGCTGATATTAAACTTCTAATGTGACCCCGTTGATCTGTCCATAGGTTTAGGGAGTAGGCACAAAATATGCCAAAAGTAAATGAGGATAGAGATAATGATAAGAGATATGGATTAAATCCCCAAGGAGGCCTTGACTAATGTAGGTTCAAAGTGAGGGAGTAGACCATATCGTGTTTGTTTATCATTCTTAAGTCTGTAATAATAATGACGGAGGGTGCAACACTGTTGAAAGTTTCCTTCTTTAAAAAAGTTGGCTCCAAAGTCCAAGGAATAATGTGAAATACCATAATTTGCCTTAATGCTTGCTGCAGGTCTATCTAACTGAAGTCTTAAGTCAACTTCTTTGAGAGCTGTTTGGGGAAAGCAAGGGAGGTGGAGGAAGGAGAGAACACCCAGCTTCATGCGCTCCTCAATTACATTCTTTTTTTTTTTTTTTTTTTTTTTTATGTATTTGACAGAGAGACAGTGAGAGAGAGAACACAAGCAGGGGGAGTGGGGGAGGGAGAAGCAGGCTTCCCACTGAACAGGGAGCCCAATGTGGGGCTCGATCCCAGGACTGGCCTGAGCCAAAGGCAGACACTGAAGGACTGAGCCACCCAGGCGCCTTGTCAATTTCATTCTTCCAGAAAGCAAATTTTTTAAGTAGGCTCTGCCCAGCATGGCCCCCAACATGGGGCTTCAACTCATGACCCTGAGATCAAGACTTGAGCTGAGATCAAGAGTCAGATGCTTAACTGACTCAGCCATCCAGGCAACCCAGAAAGTAAATTTTTTAAAAAGATTTTGTTTATTCACTTATTTGAGAGAGAGAGCGAGCACGAGCAGGGGGAGGCACAAAGGGAGGGCAGGGAGAAGCTCATCAGGGAACCTGATGTAGGACTCCATCCCAGGACGCTGGGATCATGACTCGAGCCAAAGGCAGACACCTAACATGCTGAGCCACCCAGGCGACCCCCTTTGAATATTTTATTTAAGAAAGTAAATATTATATTTTTAAAATATTTTATTTATTTATTTGTCAGAGAGAGAGAGAGCGCGCACACAAGTAAGGGGAGTGGCAAGAAGAGGGAGACCCAGGCTCCCTACTGAGCAAGGAGCCTGATGTGGGACCTGATCCCAGGATTGCGGGATCATGACCGGAGCTGGAGGCAGACACTTAACCGACTGAGCCACCCAGGTGTCCCAAGAAAGTAAATATTTTTAAATGAATATCCATTCTGTACCAGGGACTGCTTCAGTACTTTGGATATATCTGTTTGATACATTCTAGCAAGGGACCACAGAAGGTGGAAGGAGGGTTGAGGAGGGACAAGGGGAGGCAGACAACTGTAAATACAGTAAATTTTGTTTTTTTCTTTTTAAGATTTTATTTGTTTATTTGAGAGAGAGAGAACAAGTAGGGGGAGTGGCAGGCAGAGGGAGGGGGAGAAGCAGACTTCCTGCTGAGCAGGGAGAGTCTGATACAGGGCTTGATCCCAGGACCTGGGGATCGTGACCTAAGCTGAAGGCATACGCTTAACCAATTGAATCACCCAGGCGCCCCAACTTTATTTTACTTTAGAAGGGGGTAAGTGCTACTGAAAAAAAAAAAAAAAACTAAAACCAGAGCAAGGTTAGGGAGCAGTCTGGGGGTGTAGGTGGGCGGTGGCTGGGCTACCAGCAATGCAAGCTGGTCTCCTTGAGAAAATGAGAAGTGAGGCAAGGCTTGAAGAAGATAGGGGTTTAGCTAAGCACAGGCCTGAGAAAGCAGTGATGTAGGCAGAAGGGGCAGCTCTGGTAAAGGCCCTGAGGCAGAGTGAGTCTGTCTGACATGTTACGGTTTTAGGGGAAAAGCCAGGAGGGCAATGAGACTGGAATAGAGTGAACACAGGGTATGAGGAGAGTTCTAAAGGAAACAGGCCTGTATCAGGAGCCTCATAGGCTTTGGTTTTTATTCTGATTGAAATGGGGATCCAGGGATGCCTGGGTGGCTCAGTCGGTTAAGCGTCTGCCTTCAGCTCAGGTCATGATCCCAGAGTCCTGGGATCGAGTCCCACATTGGGCTCCTTGTTCAATGGGGAGACTGCTTCTCCCTCTCGCATTCTACCTGCCTGTGCTCACTCTCTCTCTCTCTCTCTCTCTCTCTCTCGGTGTGTCTCTCTCTGTCAAATAAATAAATAAAATCTTAAAAGGAAATAAAAACGGGGATATATTGCAAGGTTTTGAGCAGAAAGAATGATGATGGTTTTGTTTTGAAAGGACCAGGGCACTTGGATGGCTCAGTCATTGAGCATCTGCCTTCAGCTCAGGTCATGATCTCAAGGTCCTGGGATCGAGCCCCACATCGGGCTCACTGCTCAGCATGAAGCCTGCTTCTCCCTCTCACATTCCCCCTGCTTGTGTTCCCTCTCTCGCTGTCTCTCTCTCTCTCTGTCAAACAAATAAATAAAATCTTAAAAGAAAAAAAAGAAAAGAAAAGGTCACTGAACGGCTGTGTTAGAAATAGACTGTAGCGGGGCAAGGGTCAAAGCAGAGAAACCTGTTAGGAGGCTATTGCAGAAATCCAAATGAAAGATGCTTATGGAAAGCAGCTGTGGAAGTGTTGAGACACAGTTGGATTCTGGCTGTAGTCTAACTAACTAACTAACTAACTAACTTCACTTGGCTCGAGACTTGACCTAATCTTATTCAGACACTGGTTCGTATTTTGTTGCTAATGATCTCTAATCATTGCTTATTAAATCAAGGTCTGTAAGTCCTACTTGACTTGTCTAAATTATTTTCCCAAGTCTTGATTAAGTCCATGTGAAATGGTAGTTCTTGACTTCAGAGGCCAACGGCCACAGTACCAGGCACTGCACGTGAAATTACAGAGGAAGGAACAGTCCCTGCCTTCAGTTTAATCAGGAAGACAGTGTTGGCAAAGATAGGCAGAGACAGAGAGCCAACAGGTTGAAAAGGAAAAACAAGGAAATTATATGAAGTATTTCCAGTATGGTGCCAGTCAGTTCTCTGAAGTAAAAACATATGTGTTTCTGAGACAGATGAGATGGAAGATAAATCCCATTTTGGACAAGTCATATAAGTTCTCTGTGTTTTGGCTTCCTTATTTGTAAGATGTTATAATGAAGTAATTCTTGGCCTACCTATTTCACAGGGGGTAACAGGAAGATCAGAAACAAATAAAAATGAGGAAGCAGGTGTGAAAACACTTTGCACACTGAATGATATTATGATTGAAAGAGAAGGAAAAAACCTAGTGATCCTCTAGTAGAACTGTGCCCTCTAGCCACGGGGATAATGGTATTTCAATGTGGCATGTCTTCCCACCTCCTGGGAGCCACTGTTTCAAAGTCTCCTTAATAGGCTTCATCTGTCAGTGTATTTTCAGTTCTGCCTAAGCTTTGAAATTAATGTCCATCTATGTTGGCAGGTGTTTTAGGTCTCATCTGCTAGGTAACTGAGCATTAAGGTGGAGCACATCTGTAAATAGAGCTACTGCATTTCCAGTGACGATGGAATTACAATATTAGTTTTTTGTTGGCTAAGGATATTTGAGCAAGAATGCTCCCCTTTCAGGGGATGTACAAACTCCAAATCTATGAAATGGATAACTTAGCAGATGATGCTTTGCTTTATTACAAAATAATTTATTTTAAATAGGGAACATTAGGTACAGTATATTTGAGTGGAAATCTCCCTTGGAGATTATTCTGTACTAATACCAGCAGGTTGAAAGCTCTTATTTGAGTGGCCTTACGCATTGCTGTTGAGTTTGTGCTTCTGATCTAAGCCTCCCTTTACATATGTAGAAATAATGTCATCTAGTCAAATCTCTCATTTGTAGCTGTAGAAACTGAGCACTGGAGAAATTAAGTAACTTGTCAGAGATGATAATATCAGAATAAACACTCATTTGATGTTATTCCTCCTACACCCCAGTTTCATATGGGGTAAACTGTCCTTAGAAATCAGTTTGCACTAATCATGGGGCGCCTGGGTGGCTCAGTGGGTTAAGCCTCTGCCTTCGGCTCAGGTCATGATCTCAGGGTCCTGGGATCCAGCCCCAAATTGGGCTTTCTGCTCAGCGGGGAGCTTGCTTCCTCCTCTCTCTCTCTGCCTGTCTCTCTGCCTACTTGTGATCTCTGTCTGTCAAATAAATAAATAAAATCTTAAAAAAAAAATCAGTTCGCATTAATCAAATTCCAAGGAGCCTAATCTATATACTAAAATGACATTTTAAAAAACTTACATAGGGGCGCCTGGGTGGGTCAGTGGGTTGGGGCCTCTGCCTTTGGCTTGGGTCATGATCCCAGGGTCTTGGGATCGAGCCCCGTATCGGGCTCTCTGCTCGGCGGGGAGCCTGCTTCCCTCCCCCCTCCTGCTTCTCCACCTACTTGAGATCTCTGTCTGGCAAATAAATAAATAAAATCTTAAAAAAAAAAAAACTTAACATAGGAGAATGTATCCATCAAACGGATCAGGTAGGATTTTTTTTCTTCTAGGTACCCTGTTCTAAACATATGCATTCTTTTGAAATCTAATTAGAAATTCTAGATTTAGGGGCACCTGGGTGACTCAGTTTTTAGGTGTCTGCCTTCAGCTCAGGTCATGATCCCAGGGTCCTGGGATCAAGCCCCCAGTTGGGATCCCTGCTCAGCAGGAAGCTCGCTTATCTCTCTCCCACTCCCTCTGCTTATGTTCTCTCTCTCTCTCTGTCAAATAAATAAAATCTTAAAAAAAAAAATAAATTCTAGATTTACATAGAATCCGAGCAATAGGAACTACATGGTATAAACTATACCATAAGTGAAAAAGACCTAATGAGTCATCTCTGTCCACCAGAAAGAAATTTGGGGATATTTATAATAGAAGATCTTTTCATTGACCTAATTCCATAAACAGTAACAAATAGTCTCCGTCTGACATTTTTCTAAATTCCATGTTGAACCACATCTTCTTTTTTTTTTTTTTAAGATTTTATTTATTTATTTGAGAGACAGAGATCACAAGTTGGCAGAGAGGCAGGCAGAGAGAGAGAGAGGAAGAAGCAGGCTCCCCGTTAAGCAGAGAGCCCAATGCAGGGCTTGATCCCAGGACCCTGGGATCATGACCTGAGCCGAAGGCAGAGGCTTAACCCACTGAGCCACCCAGGTGCCCCTTGACCCACATCTTCTGATGACTGTGTTGTAGTACATTATCATCCTTCCAGTTTCAAATTCCTACTTTGCTCTGGGAACATTCTCATAAACTGTCTTCTGATTGCTTCTGGGACATCCTCTTGTGCAGACTGAGAGTGTGGTATTTTCAGAGGGCATCTCGTTTATGACCTTGTATATTTGACAATTTATTTAATTTGTATTTCTACGCTACTTGGTATCTCTCACATCCTGGTATTCAGTGTAAATTTAAATTCAGAATGGGAAGTTTCAAACTTATAAATGGAATGATATTTCAAAAGTCCATTCATAAGTTGGTTGTTTGGAATTCATCATTATTCCGTAGAAATGTGTCATGAATGTTGATTAGGTCCACAAACTAGCCAACAAACATCCATTTAATCTCTTTGCACAGCTCAAGTAGTACTGGGTATTAGCTTACATTCTGCATTCAGGAACCAACCACCATGCCATGAAGGAAGGAGGAAGAAACTTGCCCAGGGCAAATTTTTGAATTAGGTCAGGTTGATCTCTGGCATCCCTCTACCTCCTTAACCACCTAGTTTCCGTTGTCCCAAATTTCTAAGAACTAGTGTCCTTAATTGCCTGGAATCCTACAATGCATAGCACTATATCCAAGAAAAATCCATCCTGCACAAAGTGCTCTAGACTCCAGAGTGACTTAAATTCACTGATATTGACACCTGCCATTGGTGCTTCAAAGGGGTGACTCCGGGGTGGGGGGGTGTCATGTGTTAGGTAAACAATCTGGTTGAATTACTTTATATTAATATTGAGTAACCAAAACCCCCACATGCTGTCAGAATTTTTTCAGTTTTTAATAAGAGTTTGTTTTTTTCCCACACAAATTGTTACCATATGAACTTTAGAAAGTACAATAAAGGGAACAAAAACATTCATACCATGCGAGGTTATATAATTTACTATACCACACATCCCAAGAATCTATCCACTTATTTCCCAATCTCTAAACATACTGTAGTTTTTAAAGTTTTTTTTTCCCCCCATTATTCTCCCTGGGAACTCCCCAGTTTCTCTAAAAGTGTCAAGTTTTATTTTATTTTTCCAGCAGTGTAGCAGTAGCATCTAGGGGATTGCCTGTATATAAAGGAAAGCTGTCAAAATCTGCTTGACAGAAAGAATGGGTAGGGGGAGGAAAGGAGGGCAGAACAGAGAAATTCACCTGACGTCAAGAACCATTGCCCTGGGGCTCCAGGGTGGCTCAGTGGGTTAGGCCTCTGCCTTCGGCTCAGGTCAGGATCTCAGGGTCCTTGGATCAAGCCCTCCATCGGGCTCTCTGCTCAGCAGGGAGCCTGTGTCCTCCCCTCTCTCTGCCTGCCTCTCTGCCTACTTGTGATCTCTCTCTGTGTCAAATAAGTAAATAAAATCTTAAAAAAAAAAAAAAGGACCATTGCCCAGCAGCTTAGGGGGAACAGGCATTCCTTCCCTGGGTGGAAGGGCAAAATGGAATCACCAGGAACGAGGGTAATATAGCAGTAGCTGGCAAACCTTTGATGCAGAAGTTCTACTTCTTGGAATTTCATCAGGTTGATAACTTGCAGATACACAGAGAAGAATGGATAAGGTCATTGCTTGCAATATTGTTTGTGTTTATAGAAGATTTGAAACCAAAATATCCATCGATAGGGAACTTGTGGAATAAATTATAATACAGGGGCACCTGGCTGGCTCAGTGGTAGCATGAGACTCTTGATCTTGGGATCATGAGGTTGAACCCCATGTTGGGCTTAGAGATTACTTAAGGAAATAAAAAAAATATAGTACAAGCATATAAAAGTACTGTACAATTTTTGAATAAGACAAATTTATACATACTGATATGCAACAACCTGTACAATACATTGTTAAATGGAAAAAAGGTATAGAACCGTGTGTATGGTATGCTACCATCTAGGTTTTTAGATATGTACGTCCATATGTGCTCAGAGTAGGAAGGAAATTCAGCAAGTTGGTAATAGCGTTCCGTAGAAAACTAGAAGACTGAGAGATTGGAGGAGGAGGGAGACTGACTTTTCACTATAAATCTGTGCTGTTTAAATATTTTACTGTCTGCATTCAAAATAAATAAAATTCAAATAACCGTTATCAAAAGACGACCCATCAGAAATGGAAATCACATGAAAATCCCAGCATTGTCAGGGTTAGAGGGCCCATAGAGATTAAAAAACTGAATTTCAGGGCACCTGGGTGGCTCAGTGGGTTAAAGCCTCTGCCTTCGGCTGAGGTCCTGATCCCAGGGTCCTGGGATCGAAACCCACATCGGGCTCTCTGCTTAGCAGGGAGCCTGCTTCCTCCTCTGTCTCTCGGCCTGCCTCTCTGCCTACTTGTGATCTCTGTCTGTCAAATAAATAAATAAAATCTTAAAAAAAAAACCACCTGACTTTCAGAGAAGACCCAGATCTGCCCAAGGAGAGGATAATCCATATCCTTGAGCCCTTAGCTACTACTAAGCCCCACCCGGCTTCAAGGATGTCAACTAAAAGTCAGTGTCTATCTCCATTTCATTTTCCAGTCTCACCTTGCCCCGTGAGAAGGGATCCAGTCTGAAACTTGGTTGTGGAGGTTAAGTGACAGTTTGGGGAGGCAGTGCTGTTTCTGTGGGGAGCAGCGATCACTCTCAGGTTCTTCAGAGTCTGCTTGACCTTTGACCCTTTCTCTGAATAAACAAGGTTGACTTTGACTTTGCTCCCAGAGCCAAGGCACTGCAGGGTAGCCACAGTCTGATTTTGAATGAAGGTAGACGTTTTGGCTTGTGCCTGAGCCTCTGGAAGGAGAAAAGGCAGATAGAAAAATGAAGCTGGTTGTTAATCTGAATGGTACCCAGCTAAATATCTTCCATTCGTGACCCCTGTTAAAACTCCACTGCTGGGGGTGCCTGGGTGGCTCAGTGGGTTGAGCCTCTGCCTTCAGCTCAGGTCATGATCTTAGGGTCCTGGTATCGAGTCCCGAATTGGGCTATTTGCCCAGCAGGGAGCCTGCTTCCCCCTCTTCTCTCTCTGCCTGCCTTTCTGCCTACTTGTGGTCTCTGTCAAGTAGATAAATAAAATCTTAAAAAAAAACAAACAAAAAAACAAACTCCACTGCCGTTCTTGCTTCTCTTTAGTTCTCTTCTTCCTCAACATGTGGTTTTGGTCCTAAGTGTAGATGCCCTGCCTTTCCTCCTTCTTGCCATGGGTCTCATGAAGATAGGTGCCTGCAGTAAATTCAGCCCAGGGAAAAGCTTCGAGGTTGTCTTCTCCAATGCAGAGAGGGTTACATGGTGCCTCCTTCTCTTTCTTCACCCTCAGCTGTTTGATTGATATAGCCATGCCTTAGGTAATAAGTGTTAATTTAAAAATTGGTTTCCAGAAACCCTCTTGAGGGGATACATATCTTTAAAATCGGATATTCGAGATCTGGGATAGGAATTGGGGAAGACAGTCCTCTTTTAAGTGTAAAGATTTTCTGGAATGGCAAGGTGATTTTTCAGGCAGGGCCCATTCCCTACCTTGCATGAGCACATCCCCAGTTCTTCTCACATCCTTTGGGAAGAACCCAGGCAGCTGTTCTACGTGGCAGCTGCTATCTCTGAAATCTGGAAACAAAAAGAGAAAAAAGGTCAGGACTTACAATTTATTGGGTACAGTTTAGAATTCCAGGTACAGAAGAATGCAGTCCCTTCTCATCAAGCTGACAATGGGGGAGATCAAACACTATTTAAAAAAAAAAGATTTTAAAATATATACAAGTAGGAGTTAGCCTTGTACAAGGAAAACTGAGTACCAATCCATTACACTTAGGGGGGAATAAAGGTGAATGCGAGTTAAACAGAATTATAAGTTAGTAAAAAGACTAATCAACCCATTCCTTCAAACACTGCTTGTTATCTCTTTTCCTTCTTGTTCTATCTGCCTTCTTATATTAGAACTTTTGAAAGTTTGTTCAGTGTAACTCTGAACAAGCTATCTCTTCAGGTTTCCATGGAACCAAGGACATAGCTTATTTATGCTTTTTGGCACATAACTCACAGGATGTTGTGAGTTTTCTTCATCCATTAAATTTGTTATTGCTGCCCCTTGAGCTGTTTGGCCATAACTCTGATTAGCTAATTTTAGAGATGAACTGTTTGAACACCTTGAAAAAGCATGTTTTATTTATTTTTTATTTTTTTTTAAAGATTTTATTTATTTATTTTACAGAGAGAGAGATCACAAGTAGGCAGAGAGGCAGGCAGAGAGAGGGAAATAGGTTCCCCACGGAGCAGAGAGCCCGATGCGGGACTCGATCCCAGGAACCTGAGATCATGACCTGAGCGGAAGGCAGCGGCTTAACCCACTGAGCCACCCAAGCACCCAAAAAAGCATGTTTTAAATAAACAGTTATCAGAGAGCAGCAAATGGTGCCATTCCAGCCTACCCTGGAGTCTGCTTTTCCCTCTCCCTCTGCTCCTTTCCTGGTTCACGCTCTTTCTCACTCTCTCAAATAAATAAATCTTAAAAAAAGAAAAAAAAGTGTGGAAGGGAGGGTAGAATTCTCACCACGGAACAGCTATCTCTGAGTTGAAATAAGTTATAGTCCTACCTAGAAGCAAGAAAATACCTGGGATGACTTTAAATCATCACCTGCTGAGTAGTGGCTGTATCTCAGTCTGGTAGAATAGTCTCCCATATCCTAGGTCTCTCTTTGGATTTTCTAGGATACTAGACTATTGAAGTACTTACCTTTCTTGCTGACATCATAGGACGTAATGATTAGGCTGAAGACCAAGATGGTATCCATCTTAGCTGGAGCACATGCTCACAGCGCCGCCTTCGTCTTCTTGCTAGGGGCTTGCACTGCCCTGGAACGAATTTTGACCCCGGGAGAGTCTGGTTCCACCCTAATTATTTTTGCCCCATTTCCTGAAGACCTAGGAATAGAGCTGATTGGGGAGAAGACCAAATGAGCTTGTTAATGATTGACTCAAAAAGTCTTCCTCTGACTTCATAGCTGGTGCCGACATAAGGAACTGTAATTACCTAGAGGTTTCCCTAGAAGAAAGGACATAAACACCCAGTGATATGCTTTACAAACACTTGTACATGGACACGTAGACATTCACAGGCATGCTTGCTGACACGAGCACATAGATTTATTCACTGACATAAAGAGATGTAGAGATTTCTATTAAGGAAAGTGATTCAAGAATACAGCACTCTTGGGTGGCTCAGCTTATTAAGCATCTGCCTTCAGCTTAGGATTCTAGGGTCCTGGGATGGAGTCCTGCATAGGGCTCCTTGCTCGGCGAGCATGCTTCTCCCTCTGCCTGCCACTCCCCCTAGTTGTGCTTTCTCTCTGACAAATAAATAAATAAAATCTTTATTTTTTAAATTTACTTTAAAATTTTTTATTTATTGACAGAAACAGTGAGAGAGGGAACAAACCTTAAAAAAAAAAGAATGGAGCAGAAAACTAGCAGAAAAAGAGTTAGTAGACTACACTGGAGAGAGTACAGGACTAGGAACTGATAGACTTGAGTTCCAGCATAAGCCCTATTATTAATATTACCTCGAGAAAATTCCTTGACATCTCTCAGTCTCTGTTTTCTCCTCTCTAACTGGAGAATTCTGACCATAATCTCTAGAATTCATTCACAGCTGTACATATAAACTTTAGCTTAGATGTATCTACCTAGTTTTGCACATTTTCACACGAGTAGACCACATTGCCATGACTATTGCACTAGGTAAGTGATACTACCTGTGATTTGGGAAGGTTTTCCTAGACAGATAACCATTGTTGAAGAGTTTTCTAACTTTTAGCAGAGAGTTTACATCTAGTGTAACACTCTGTAGACTTTGTGATAGCATAACTAGACAGATCATACAGCAGAAATGAATATCTTTTTTAAAAAAAATATTTTATTTATCTATTTGACAGAGACAGTGAGGGAACACCAGCAGGGGGAGTGGGAGAGGGAGATCAGGGAGCCTGACTTGGGGCTTGATCCCAGGACCTTGGGAGCATGACCCGAGTTGAAGGCAGAGGCCTAACGACTGAGCCACCCAGGTGCCCCCAGAAATGAAGATCTACGCAGATCTTCTGCTGAAGTCAAGAACCTCTGCAGTCTTTCTACTCACTCTAAATTTTCTTCATTGGAGCCAATATAGGTCTGGCTATGCATAAGAAGATCTTGGAGCCTGACACTCAGATAATGATGTGAAGGGAGCTTGAGTCAAGGGATTTTTCATGAGGGAGTTCATGAGATCTGAGTCAAATTATAATTTATTTTTAGAATTTTTTTAAAGATTTTTATTTATTTATTTGACAAAGATCACAAGTAGGCAGAGAGGCAGGCAGAGAGAGAGAGAGGAGGAAGCAGGCTCCCTGCTGAGCAGAGAGCCCGATGTGGGGCTCGATCCCAGGACCCTGGGATCATGACCTGAGCTGAAGGCAGAGGCTTTAACCCACTGAGCCACCCAGGCGCCCCCAAATTATAATTTTAAATATTACCCTGTTTCTTGGCATTTTAATTCAGGTTGAAATCTGGCTAAATTGAATTCAGGGGAAATCTTGATGGGGAAACAGAATGGAAAAAGATGTCGCCGGAGGACAGCATGTTGCCCGAAATGTGGAAGAAGGGCTGAGCATTCAGTCACAGTGCCTTTCACCCTTTCGCTCAACAAGTATTGTGGGCCTACTGTGTGCCAGCCGCTCTTCTAGCAGTGAGCCAGACCAAGCCTATGTTCACATGAAGTGATGGGAAGCAGACAATGAATACAGTTGGAAAGAAAATAGTGCAGAGGGCTGATGATAAAACACAAATGCAAATACAAGATAATTTAGAGGTTATGGTAGTTGTGGTGGAGCAGCAAACAGGTGGTAAGGTGAAGGACACCCCACAGAGGTTACACTTACAGTGGTCAGGACAGACTTCTCCGAGGAGGTGACATCTGAGCTAAGGAAACCAGGAGAGTGGATGGCTTAGAAGCCAATAAAGAAGAGTCTTGCTGGGAAGGAATTAGGTGGTCAAGTGCAAAGAGGTTATGTACAATAATGACAGTACCAGTGGGTCTGACAGGCTTGTGACAGCAGTTCCAGCGGAGTGGCGGAAACAGGAGAGGGCTGAGAGGGAATTGAAGCTGAAGTAGTGTACATAACTTTTTCAAGGTGTTTTGCTGCGGAAAGGAACAGAGGAGCAAGGCCCCTGAGTAGGAGGGAAGCTAAACGCTTCAGATCTCTATTGGCCCAGGGCAACCCAGTCTTATTCCTTTATTCCCTCCTACAACTGCCTGATTCTCTTAGCAGGGCAGGTGGTTAGGGGAGAATAAAGGGCTCCATTGCCTTTCATGATTTTTCCTTAACATGATTACATGATTCTCTGCTCCCTTATGGTATCAGACACTACCCCCCTTCTGCTTATTTGAAATATTCTGTAGATTCTTTCCTTCCAATTGCCACGTTACAGTGCTGCCCCCTTGGAGCAGGGATCGAAACGGATCTAGGGTTCACTATTGTCATTCTGTGTGGCAGAAAAATGCACTCTTCGCAAAGGAAACCTTGTGCTTGGACAAAGAAAAAGAGGAAGAGTTTTCTTTTATCAATTTTGAGACCCTTCCCTTTTCCTTTGGGTCTCAAAAGCCTAAAAATCAGCCTGGGTGTTGGTGTGGCTATACTGTGGGATACAGAGAAGCAAGAGAGCTGCATTAACAAGGCAAAATATCTGGGTCTCTTTCTGTACTACTAGATATTTTGATTGGTTTTCGAAGTGTTTAGAGTATTTGTAGGGGAGAGGATTATCTCCCCTGATCTCCTTTCCCCACAGCAAAGATTTCTAATTTAGGAAGGAAAAAAAAAAAAGGCTATAACATAGGTGAGTTTTCTAATTGTGCAGGTAAGAGATGTGACTCAAAGATAATTAGAAACTAGGACTGTGGCGCCTGGGTGGCTCAGTCGTTAAGCGTCTGCCTTTGGCTCTGGTCATGGTCCCAGGGTCCTGGGGTCGAGCCCCGCATTGGGGTCCCTGCTCAGTGGGGAGCCTGCTTCTCCCTCTCCCACTCCCTCTGCTTGTGTTCCCTTTCTTGCTGTGTCTCTGTCAAATAAATAAATAAAATATTAAAAAAGAAAAAAAACTAGGACTGGATGGATTAATCAGGGTGGGTCTGTGGGAGGAGCACTTGACAAGTCAGGAGGTTTACCTAGGTTCTAGATTATGCTCGGTAATTGACTGAATCCCTTTGGGTAAGTCACTTAACTTCTCTGGCCTCTATTTCAGTTTTTTGAAATGGTTAGACAAGTTGATTTTGAAGGCCTCCTACAGCTCTAAAATTATTATATTAATACCGTGCTCTGCTCTCTTTCTTTTAAAAAGTGCGTGCTTTGGGGTTGGTTGGTTTAGTTTCCTTTAAATTCTTTTATTGTGGAATGCATCATACATATAGAAGAGTACATATAACATAAATATATTTTTAATAATAACAGTAATAATAATGGGAACACTATTCAGCCATCACCCTAATGTAGAAATTGAACATCGTCAGTGTCCTAGAAGCTGTTTATCTTCTTCTTTTTCTTCTTCTTCTTTTTTTTTTTTTAAGATTTTTTATTTATTTATTTGACAGACAGAGATTACAAGTAGGCAGAGAGGCATGCAGAGAGAGAGGAAGGGAAGCGGGCTTCCCACTGAGCAGAGAGCCTGATGCGGGTCTTGATCCCAGGACCCTGGGATCATGACCTGAGCTGAAGGCAGAGGCTTTAACCCACTGAGCCACCCAGATGCCCCAAGCTGTTTATCTTCTTGTGATATACAAGTGATTACACTTCTTTCCCTCCTCCCAATCATTATTTACCCAAGCTTTTTAAAAATAGTGAACATCTGTATATATATCACTAAAAATAGACTTTTTTTATTTTTGCCTGCTTTGAACCTAAGTAAATATAATCATTCTTTATGTTTTTTAAAGTAAACTGTTTATTATGTACAACACAAAATGGATATTACCTCTCTTCATGACCTCTCCCAGTCACTACCTACTGTCAGGAGTAACCGTTATCCAGACCTATACTGCCACACATGAGTTTTGCCTATTTTTGAACTCTGTATAGCAGGAAACATACTTTTTACTTGGATTTTTTTGCTCAACACTGTACTTGTAAAATTTATCCGCACTTCATGGAGCAACAGTTTGTTCTCTCTACTTGTTTTGTAATAGTGCATTGTATGAGTGCCTCACAATTTATGTACCCGTTCTACTGCTGAGGCACATGGGGTTGTTTCCAGTTTGGGGTCATAATTAACAATGTTCCCGGGCACATGTGAAAGTTTCTCCAGAGTATAAATTCAGAAATGGAAGCTGGGTTATAGGGTAGACAGTGTATGTTCAGCTTTGCTAATTAATGCCAAACTCTTTTCTAAGACGTTGTCCCCGTTTACACTTCTGTCTGCAGTACATGAAAGTTCCTGTTGTCCCATGTCCTTGCCAAAGAGGCCAAAGAGCCTTTTCAGTGCAGTACAACCATGGGACTGAACAGGGCTCAGCCTGCCGACCCTTCAGCTGGTTTTCAGAAGCCCACGCCACAGTCACTTCTCCTGTTTACTTGCTCCATCCAAATGAGGGTAAAGGATTCAAATGATTGCTAGGTCTCTGATCACATGCTCTGTTACTGGGAATATGGGCCTCGGGTGAGTGGGGTGGTGATTTTAATAACATAGTCATTCCTGAATGAAGTGAGCATCCGTAGGATACTTTGTTCTTATACCGAGCACTTGTAGGAGATGGAAGGAGGCACAGAAGGGAAAGGGGATGCAGTATCTTCAGCGAGCTTGTTATGTTCCAAGCTCTGTGTTAGAGATTTTACATTTTGGCTATAACATTTCATCCAAAACACAACCTTCCAAGGTAGCTATTATACCTCAGTTTTACAGACAAGGAAACTGAGGCGCAGTTTCATTTGCTCAAGGTCACACAGCTAATTATTGACAGAGTCAAGATCTGATTAAAGAGCCCAAGCTCTTTATGATATAGAACAAGTCCCTGCTGCTCTTGACGTATTTTGGCTTAGGTTGCCAG